TGCTTTGTCAGGGTGATTGACCATGCTTATTGAATTGCATATAAAATATTCACACATATAAATATTATATATATCTTGCTATCTTAGAGTTCTATTGATCTAATGACCTTCTTTGTCACTGATAACTCTTTTCACTCACAGGCAGTTTTCCCTGCTTGTATAACCACCTCTGCTCTCTTTTGTATCACTGTCTGCATGGAATATCTTCCCTATCCATTCACTTTCAACCCAGCATTACCTTTGGATCTAAAGTGAGTCTCTTATCCATATAGTTGGACTTCGGTGGGGTTTTTTTGGGTTTTTGTTTGGTTGGTTTTAAAGATTCATTCTACAAATCTCTGTCTTTAACAGAATGCTTAATCCATTTACATTTAATGTAATCATTGAACTCATAAAAGTTACTTACTTTTGCATTTTTTTGTTTCTTTCATATCCTTATCATTTTTGTTGTCCTGTTTTCTGTGTGCACTGTGTTCATTATTTTTCTATAGTGAAACTTTCTCATTCCTTCCTACTTCCTTTTGTTTCTACCCTACAGGTATTTTCTTTGTATGAATCCTATACAGATTATACTTCATTAAAAAACTAATACTATTTTGCCCTTATACGATCCTAATTTTGATAGCACAAGGAGATTCCAAAGTAAAAGGTTATATTAAAAGCTCATAAGTATGGTGTCACAGTGTGGATCAGGTCTACCCACTTATAAAGCAGGCTACCTCTAAAAAGGCATCAGGGTGGGGCTCTTCTTATAGATCAGCAAGGAGGGTCCCCCTGAGGAACATTTACAAGGAGACAGAAAAGCCCATTCTCTAAGAGCCTATCTGAAAGACAGAATGTGTGACAGAGGAGCTGGGATCTCCCGAGGAAGAGTTGGCCTCTGCAGCAGAAGCCAGGGCTCAGAAAGGAGGGAGGAGTTACAGGAGAAAGAGATGGCCTGGAATAAGGCTGGGAGGGGCCCAGAAAGGGGGTAGAGTTCCCATCAACTGCCAGGAGAAGCCACAGGGGACTTTGTACTGTTTAGTGACAAGCTCCTGATTCTACTGGCAGCCTTTCCAGGCCACTCTGTGTCGAGGATAAAAGGGGAACTAAGATGGGAGTAAGCAGGCCAGTAAGGGAACTGGATCAGTATTAAGGCTGGAAACAATGGAGGTCCCAGAGCAGAGAGCAAAACCAGAAATGTCTGAGCCAAGTGATGCAGGGAGCATCAGCTGGTAGCTGGTCTTCTATTCAACTGTGTACTTACTAGTCTCTAAGCCTCCGTTTCAAATCTGTTCCCTGTAAAATGATGAAACCCACCAGACATGAGGTGTCGGAGGCATGAAAACACCCTGTTGCCTCTGTCAGGGCTGGGAAGATCGACTTAGGCACCTACTCTTCATCTCCCACACTGGCTAGCACTGATCTAACTCATCCTAACCATGAAAGACACTGGGAAAAACAGGAACACCAGACCAAAAAAAAATGTTCCCAGCTCAGAAAACTTGATTTTCTTCTCCTTCGCCCCTGGTGGGACTTGTCTGGGTTTTGCCTTGGGAGTCTGGATATGACATCGAGGGTATGGGATCTCTGCCACAGAGACCCAAGCAGCAGGGCAAGGGGAGAGCTGCCAGATACCAGGGTTACTAGTTTCCACAGCCCACAAGTGAATGATGAGGACCACCAACCCAAGTGGCTTTCTTTCCAATCCAAGAAACCCGAGGAGGCAGCTGAACAGTCTGGAGAGAGACAGATGGGCTCGGTGGGCCTGTTCCCGCTTGTTGCTCCTAGGGAAGCTGTGTAATGATGGGGGCCCAATCACAGCCACAATCCCTTCCTTTCCTCCAGGCTTACCAGGTATCTCACTGGCTCAGACTCCCTATTCCACAGCAGCCATGGGCAGGAAAGAAATCTGGGGATTTCCCAAACCAGGATTTAGAGGACCGAAGACAGGAAGTGGTGGTGGCAGAGGCTCATCTTGTTTAAAACAAGACATAGTGTCTGGGGGTGAAGTGGTTTCCGTGGACTGTGACCAGCACAGCAGGAAAGGGTTAAAATGAGTGTTGCCATCACACACAGGGGTCTGGGACTCTGACTAATTTGCTTTTGGCTTCCAGCAGCTCTGAAATCACACACAGAGACAACTTGTAGGAACGAACATCATCACACCATATTGTTTACACAATGCAATATCCCTTAACAAGTTATAGACCTCCTCAGAAAACCTCAGAATCCAAATGGAAAGTGTTTGGCCCCCAACACCAGGGCTGTGAACCCTGGACAACCTGGTGTAAGCTGCTTCTGGAGTGAAAGCGAGACTGGGCCCTTCCTGGCCCCTTGGCCTACAGTCTTCATGCCCCATGGGGGATGGTAGGTGGGGTGATACAGATAACATCCCATCCTTAATCAGCTGTCATTAAAGAGATCCCTAGATCTAAGTCAGTTTATAAAAGCAAATATCAATGCCTTATGGCAACCTGTTCCATGAGGAAATGTGTGGGTACAACCAGCAATTCACCATGCTGAGAGAATGCCACTGGAACCACTCTGCCAGTTGAGGCACATCTGAGGGGCAGGATAAAGGCAAGAGAGGTGAGGTTTCTCACAAAAGACAAGAGCAGTCTGGGAAGGGAGCCTCAGACAGAGGGTGCAAGAAACTCATCCTCTTGACCGGCAGGATCACCACTGTGGGACAGAGTGGGGGGCATCAATACCTATTTTCCTGTGCCCAGTTCAGGTGAAGGGTTTGGACCTAATGTCATGGCCCTGCCCAAGATATCCCTTGAGGAGCTACTGATGCACAGAGCCTCTTTGCCCTTGAACTTTCTTCAGACTCTTGGAAATGAGCTGTGGGCTCTCGTCCCCACAGGGGAGACTTGATCCTGGTGAGCTTTGTGCAGGCCCGCCAGCCTTCCAGGTCCCCAGCCCACTTACAATACAGTCAGAGCAGAGATTCCAGCAGGGGGGAAATCATCAGGTCCTTCCAGCTTCTGTGTCCCCCCCACTTTCTCATGGACCCTCCCAAGCCACCTCTAGAGCCCAAAGCATCCTCCTCCATCATACCTACACATGTGCAAAGAGTCACCTGCATACTTTATCACTCATGAGGACCATGACTACCCACTATCCTCCAACACACAAGCTAGGAGCCACTAACCTCACCTTCTCGTCACAGCTAGCTTCCTTCTCAGTATCCAGGCTCCATCCCCTCAGGCAAACAAGAGCAGATGCATTCTAAGATAGTCAGGATCTGTCCAAGCCCTGGACCATGATTGTACCAGCCCAAGGCTGCACAGATTCTGGAGAAGGAGGAATACTATCCCCCAGCCCTAGCCCCAAATGCCTTAGTCTAGTCTCTTTGGAGTTTAGTCCATCTTGTGGCCCCAGATGACAATCTTTGTCTCATTCTGCTGTACTGTCCTCTTAATCTTTCACCTACACCTGCCATTGTCAACCAGCTTTCCGCTCCCAACATCCCTTTCTGTAGGGACAGCCTCCTCCTAGGTTCTTCTGCCTATCCCCTGGGGTTACTGTACCCCAAAACTGTCTCCTCACAGGAGATGTTGCATCTGGGCATTGCTGGCCACTCTTGAGGCTTCAGGTACCAGCACCAGGCTGAGAAACCCCAAGTTCCTATTCTAGCCAAGCCTGCTTGTCCATCTCTCGCCTTAAGCTCAGCTTGTCCACTGAGACACTCCTCCTGAGGTCCAAATGCTCTGTTCCTCCTTTTCTCAGCCAGCGGCTCCACCATCTGTCCAGGCACCCATGAAAGGCCAGGTAAACTGGGGTTTCTCTGCTCCTGATACCCCCTGGTTCCTGCCAGTCTTCCCCACCTGGCCCCTGAGTGCCTCCACCCACTCACCCTGCCCATCAGTTCAGACCCTCTTCCCATCTACTGGCCACTCCTCACATCAACCCACCCAGCATGCAGCTGCTCTGGCTCCTTCTCCAAACACTGAGCTGAACTTGAGGCTCTCCTACACTTGGGTGGCCCCAGTCTCCTGGGCAAAGCCCCTACCTCTCAGAACCTCTTGCTCACCTCCTCTAGCCTCCATTGTCTACATGCGTCCACACTCCTTCAAGTCCCCGCTGCAGCTGTATCACCTGACCTCCCTCTGAAGGGAGCAAGTGTCCCTCCAAGCCTCACACCTGTTGCACCCACAGCATGACCTTTCCACCCATCCTCACCCCGGCAGCACTTCCTTCCTCTCTAGTCAAGGTTTGCTCTTTCATGAGACCTCATGCTGAAGGATGATCACGAGCAGCAGCCCTCCACCTGCACATTAGGGGTCCCTACAGATGTCTCTATGGTAGAATGGATGCTTTGCCTGCTAAGACTAGAGCCTCCCAAGGGAAGGACCAGACTGTGTGTTGCGTTTGTAGCCCCAGCATGGAACACAATGTTAAAGGTTTTTGAAGGCCTTCAAAAGCACTTGCTGGGAAAACAGATGGCTGGGTGGAGTGTGGCTGCCTTTGAAGAGCCTGTGGTGTCGATAATTGAGGAGGTAACCTCTCCTTCACCCACCCACTCTGTAAAGAAGGTTTCCCTCTATCTCCACTCAACAAACTGGGTGCAGACTTGGCTTCATAACCCCCTTATTGTCACCCTCAATAGATAACCATCTCATAGTTCCTACAAGTAAGTTCTCGAGGCACATGGTACGCTATTTTTTAACTAAGGTCTGATCCCAATTTCTCCAAGCAGTCTCATCATTATGACAGCTGCTTCTCCCTTCAATATAACTGTCACTTGGAATAAGTCTTCCACGTACCAAGAATCTTGAAAGTATGGTCATGAGCAGTCCCATCACCGAGCAAACCTGTGCATGCAAACATCACGGCAGGTAGAATCCAGAATCAGACTTTCTCCCATCCACTGCATCTGCTCTCAGGGTCACAGGCTGTGACCCCAAGCCAGCTGCCTCCTTGCCTCGGGAGGTAAGGGTGCCACGCCTGCCTCCAGAGCTCCCCTCCTAGGGAGATCTGAGCCCACCAATGGCAGGGCCCTCTTGTGGACTCACCATGTTCATGACAGTGAGGAGGAACCTCTGCGCAGCCTCTGCCCCGTGGTACTGCACCATGTCGGCATCGGCCACCACCAGGGTCTCCACCGTGTGCTCGTTGGTGAGCCTGATGGCATTCCTCCGCTCCCTCCAGTCCCGCGATGGCTTGTCCCTCCTGGGCTTCTTTTCTAGAAAATGACGGAGACATTTGAGCAGTTCTTGGCTTACTGATTTATGAAATCATACCATGAAAGACTCCAAGAGAATGATCAGCCTCATGTGGCCTTGATGAACCCCAAGTCTGCAGATCTCCTTGGCGACCTGGGGTGGCCTGAGTTCCCAGCCACGAGTGGTACCAGATGGGAGCCAGAGAAATAGCTTGAGGGATCAGCCATCAAATGAAACTCTACCTTGTTCATCCTCACAGCCAAGGAAGGACCTGGGGCTGATCATCAGAAAGCAGAAAGCCATTCCTAACAGAACATGGAGAGCCACACACAGCAGGCAGGGAGAGAAGCCTGCATCAAGCACTGAGGGATGTGGGAGCTCTTGAGGGTGACGGCACAGACATGCGTGACAGGTACCCCCACTTCCCTATGACATCTGGAACCAAGAAAATCAGCTTGGTTGAGACCAGGATACTCCCCTGTGAGATGAGCATCCCAGCAACTGTGCTGAGAGTCAAGAACATCAACAGACACAGAAGCAATGGAGAAGCGTAGTCAGATCATAACACACACCCAGGCTGACAGCGTGCTCTTTCCTCAAAACAAGGAAGGGTAATTACTGATGTGTGGGATTCCTCTCCTGACTTTTTTAGGTAAAGTGTTCCTCCATAAGATCTTACTTAGACAAACATCTATTTTCACTCACAGAGCCCACCTCTGAGGGCTGCTGAGTATGATGAGGTCTCTGTGTACAGCAATGACTGACAGGCCCAACAGGTGCATAGGCATCCAGATGTGGAAGGCAATTTGATACTTATTAGCAGTGGCTTACAGGGAAAAGGCTTGCTACACTGTTCATGCCGTAAAACACCACATGTGTGGCGAGTCTGCATAAAGGTGACCTATCACCATTCCAGGAGCAAAAGTAAACAGCATGAACGTGCTGGATCTCTGGGTCGAGTTTTGTAAACAGTAATGCTGCTCAAGGTGTTGTGCAGTCTTGAGACCCTGGGAGGCCATCAAAATCCCCAAGTGCAGAGAAAGCTGCCACTGTTAAGAAGGATTCAACCTTGAAAATCCAGTCTAGGGCAACCCCGCAATGTAGAGAGACACAGCTATAAAACCTTATACACGGCTGGGTCCCAAATTTGCAGAAACACAATATGAACAAGTACTTTCGGGGAAACGAGTAAGTAAACGAGCAAGCAAAATCTAAAACGTTAACAGTGAGTGATATGTGCTATTCCCTTTCCTTCCTTCCTCAGCAATTTCCAAATCTATACAACAAGTAGTGAGTTAATTATCCACTTATTAAAAAATATCTGAGTTTGTAAAAAAATACAGAAGCCACTTTTCAACTCTAAGTGATAAAAACAGAAGGCATCTGGAAGCAAACTATGTCACCAGACTCATCATAAACTTGTAAAATGTCACACAAGGACACCTCCTCACCCCATAGACTGCTCCACTTTCAGCCAGCCTGCTGAGCCTCACAGGGGAACAAGAGAGGACAAAGAGTGAGGTCTTGGATGGCATCGCCTTGGCAACGTATTGACAGAATGAATGAGGCTCCTAACTGAAAATCTATGGACTCATACCCACATTCACCAACACTAGAAAGGCAGAGCAAGGATGATACCATACCCACTTTCTGGTCTCCCACACTTGCCAACCTATCTGACCTGGAATTTGTACAGAGTCACTGCGTTTCATTTTAAAACAGCAGAGTTGAGGGACAGCCTTTCCCAAGGAGGAGCTTTGTTGGATCCTGCATGCTAACCTTCACCCAGGTGAACAGCTCACCGGTGGCCTCAGCTTCTCTTAATGTCTACTTAGAATAATTCATCTCTGGACATTGCCAGCTGGTGTCCTCACCTGCAGAGGTTCTCACTGGCTGGGCACACTTACTTTTACACTTTGCCACAGTACAGAAAGAGCTGCACTTTAGTGGCTCCTAACAGGTGCATTAAAACACCACTCTAAGAGTCTGAACGTCAGAGACTGGAGAGCCCAGGGTATGACCTGCCACCATGTGAAAAGCAGGTGCAGCCTGGATGTTTCACAGCATAATCTTACACTGGGCGTCAGTCTGCCAAGTCTACCCTCTAGAACTAACAGAAACACCTGCCCCTCTCTCTCCATGATGGATATGACAGAACTACGTAACATGATGTTATATGTTAGACACAGTGGTAGAGCCTGTAGACCCAGCTACTTGGGAGTCTTGAGACAAGAGGACTGCATCAACTCAGGAATTCAGGACCATCCTGAGCAACATAGTAAGATCCTGTCTCTAAACAAAACCAGATGCATGAGAAGCTGAGAGTGAACTCAGGCCCTGGGGTACCAAGAAGCAGGTGAAACACACTGTGCTTTAAAGGGTTTCCCCTCTGGATGGCTCATTTGCTCCTCCTTTTGTTGAAGCCCCCTGGAGGATCCTCAGTGGGAAATTCTGAACAAAGCCAAGAAAGGAAATGAATTAGAAGGAACAAATGGAGCTTCTTGCTTCATGATAGCCCCACATTTTAGGGCAGGCCAGGCCTCATCACAAAACAAGGGTCAGAAACACTGAGGTTGTTCTTGCTTGGGGGTTTGTTTTTGTTTTGTTTTCTATTTCAGCTTTTCCATTTTTATTTGTTTTTGGCAATTTTTTCTAATCAATGCATAATATTGTCTACACATTTACATGGTATAATAATTTGGTACTTCTATAAAGTACGCAATGATTAAATCAAAGCAATTTAACATGTCCATCTCCTCCAACATTTATCATTTCCATCTGCAGGAAGCCTTTGGACCCTTCTTCTCTAGTGACTTTTCGAAATAAATCACAAATTGCTACAGAGCGTAGTCACCTTACTGTGTGACAGATTACCAGAACCAGGCCATGGGCCCGCTGCATCATGCTTGTGACCCCAGTACTCAGGAAGTTGAAGCAGAAGAGTCACAAGTTCAAGATCAGCCTGGGCTCCATAGTAGTAAGATCCTGTTTCAAAAAAACAAACAAGAAAAGAACTTCGGAACCAGTCCCTCCCACCAAACTGCACATGAGTGCTGATTATCTAACCCCTCCCCCTTCTCTGTTTCTCTGTTCTAGGGGTTCTCAACCTTCCTAATGCTGTGATCACCATAAACCATAAAATTATGTTGTGGTGACCCCCCACACCCTGAAATTACTTTGTTGCTATTTCATAACTGTAATTTTGCTACTGTTACAAATCATAATGTAGACATCTGATATGCAGGCTATCTGATATGCAACCCCTGTGAAAGGGTCATTCTACCCCCCAAAGGGGTCACGACCCACAGGTTGAGAACCACTCCTCTATTCAGTCTGCAAACCCTGGATTTGGGGATTGGAGATAGGACATTGCGGACTTGAACTGTCTTCCCATGCAGGTGTCCCTCTTGGGGGTGGGGATGTGTGGAAGCACTTGAGAGGGGACCTGCCTTCCCTCCACCCCACTAATGCTTCATGGCTGCTGCTGCATTGAGGAGAGAGCCTCCCTACATGTTTATCTTAAAATCCCTAAAGCGTATAAATAAACCCTGATAGGCAGATACCAACATGCTCATCAGCACCTTCAAGGCAGAGGAAATTCAAGTTTCAGGATCACACAGTGCTGGGTTCCCCACCACTAAAGAGATCAAGGGCAGGTAGAAGGCCTGTGACTGGATGGGGGCTCCCCAAGCTCTGCTACCAAGCCACCATGGGAGAGGTGGGGGCCTTCATACTACCAACCAGGACATATCCTGGCCAGGTTGGACCCTGGCTCTCCCCTCTTTCCGGCCCTCCCCCCCCTCCTCCACCCCCCACCCCGACACCAGGAGTCAATTCTAAAGTCAAGCCTGCAGCTTCCTTTGTCAGCCCGTTGCTGAGCTGGTAATCACCTGGAGATCTTAAATAACTACTTCTACTCTTTTATTTTGCGTTTATTCTCCCTTGACTCCAATTTGAAATATTTACAGAAGACACGCTAGGTCTTTGGGGATAAGACATGGATGAAAAGAAAGCCAGGAGGCCACGAAGGGTAGTCTATACGTTAGACTTGTATACTACTTAGAAAACTATTTGTTCCACAGTGTGGGGCCTGTCTAAAGCACAGACACAGGTGGGGACCTGGGAGGTGGTGCAAGAGCTCTGGTGGAAGCGCTTGCCACAAGCATGAGTTTGAACCCCCAAACCACGCAGGAAGCTAGGCGTGGTGCCATGCATGCCTGTAACCAGCCCGGAGGTGGCGCAGACAGGAGACTTCAACAGGGCTTGCTAGCTGCCAGCCTCGTTCCAGTGACTGAGCCTGTCCCAAGGCAGAAGGGGGAGAGTAAAAGATCGGAACACCTTGTGACCCCCTCTGGCCTCTGCACACACACAGGCACATGCACGTACACACACACAGGCACATGCATGTACACACACACAAGCACATGCATGTTTACCACATTCATACATAGAAACACACACATTAAAATTACATAATGGGGGCCAGGTGGTGGTGGAATATGCCTTTTAATCCCCACACTTGAGAAGCAGAAGCAGGCGGATCTCTGTGAGTTCGGGCCCAGCCTGGTCTACAAGAGCCAGTTTCAAGAAAGCCAGGGCTGTTACACAGAGAAACCCTGTCTCGAAAAACCAAAACCAAAACAAGACAAAACAAAATATAAATGGTTAGATAGTTGCTAATTTTATTCTTGGCAAATAAAAAAATTCTCAATTATTAATTAACCAATCCAATAGAATAGATACTGTTTTTCATTTTAAAAAAAAAGTATCAGGGTATGGGTATGACTCAATGGTAGAAGATTAGTGTAGTGTGCTTGAAGCCCCGAGTTTTATTTTATCTCTAGCTCTTAAAAAAAAAAATAAAGGTAGTAACAGTATTTAAGCAATCTCTGGGGAGGGGGGAATGGGTAAAATATTGGACATGAAATTCATCCCTGAATTCCTCCATCTCCTGCTGTGCAAGACCCTAGTGTCCTAAGGCCACTTCCAGAAATGTTCTCAATGTGCTCTTTGTGCCCAG